AATTGAACACTATTCTATTTCAACAAAATGAAATCTCCTTTGTTTTAAAAAATTGATTTTAATCTATTCTTGGATGGTTCCTATATTATTTTTATGGATTAATTAACTCCCTAAGTCGTTAGTATGAGAACAAACATAACGGCGATGAATAAATTTAATCATTTAAGAAATGAAGGTTCATAAGCAAATAGGAGAAAAGGATAAAAAAGATAGATTAAATGATAAGGGTAATAAGTGATAATGGATGGAAGACATGAAACAAAGCTAAAATGATTTTATAAATTGAGTAAAACGTGTTACAACAAATTCCTTCCCATTCCTTTCGTTTCACTTCTTCATTTTCTATTACTATACATTGAATTACTACCACAAAATTATTAAAATTAAACTATTAATTTCGAGAAGTTTTAATTATCAAATTATAAAATGTAGGAAAGTATAATAGCACATACCATTTGTTTTTACTGTTTCCAACATAAATCTTTGATATTAATTAGAATAAATCGGGAAAAAATGCCACTATAAAAAAAATTTGAAAAGAATAATTGTAAGAAGTTTAAATATTTTATAATTTTTTTTTCTTCTGATTTTTATTTTTCTGAACTTTAACTTCAGTTGCAGTAAAGATAGAGCACCTTTACGAAATTCGAAATGTTTTGTTAAAAATTTCTAAATGAATGTCAATAGGAAAAAAAGCTATGTATAATTTAGACTGAGAAAAAACAAATTTGCAACAATTAAATAAAAGAAAAAATGAAAAAAACGAATTATTGAAACCGAAAAAGTTTCATCTTTGATATGCTAATTAATGGTAAACATTTATATTGCAAATATTTGACAAAAATAATGTACGTTATTGTAATTTCTGACATTTTATTACGAATAAAATATTCATTTCTTGAAATTAATAGTTTAATTTTAAAATCCACACTGGAGAAAGTGATGTGTAATAAGTTTTCCAACGATTACTTATTTTTAGCACAATATAAATCATTCCCTATTTCCGGTAAATCCATCAATCACACAATGTGTGATCGATCATTGCCGTCATTAAGACGCTATATATTCCTGATAAAAAAATATACTTGATTATTTCACCATATTATCACTGATAGTATCAGATGATATGTTCGATTCTTTTCCATCATACTATCATTTTTATACTAATTTCAGATGCTCTCTTACTTATTTTTCTAGTAATTAAAATAAAATAGTCAAATGGAAGATAAAATTTTGCAAACAAGAAAATTTGACCCATCTCATTTAATTTAGCTAAAAAAGTAAAAAAGAAAGTTATAAAACTGATAGCTTTTCAAAGCAAAGAGAGAAAGGAACAAGCAAAAAAATGAAAGAGTGCAAAATTCGTAAAAATTGTAATTAAAAACACTTTGAGATGACATATAAATAGCATTAACTTGGGAAAAATAATAAAATCACAAATCATTGCAAATACTTGTATCAAACTTTTGAAAACTAATATTTGAAATAATTAACTTCGATTTGCTCCCAACAATTTCAAATAATATATTATTGATAGTTATCAAATGATAAAAAATGAATGATTACAAAAGATAGCTAATATAATTCCTTAATATACAATTTTTGTTAATAAAAAAATAAAAAATAGATGTTGCTGATGGAGTTGCAGAGACGGCAATGATAATAAAGTGGAAATCTGATAAATTGATAATTTTAAAGATTAAATATTATTTGATAAAACATAGCTTTAAAAAATTGAAAAAATTAAACAATACGCTGAATATACTAGAAAATTTTGGTGTATCTGATGTAAACATGTAATGCATATTCTATGAAATAAGCGATATTATTAACAAATTTTTAATGCGAAAAAATTTATTGAAATGAAAGATTTTTATAGTCAAAAATTTGTCTTTTT